CATCAGTATCTAACCGTAACCTCAAGTGAAGACCATCCGAGCAAAATGCAGATTTAGCAACATCTAATCTGTCAAAACATTACTCCTGATGTTGCTAGAGCAGGGAAACTCGCTTGTTCTGCCTCTGAAGAAGCTAAATGCTGCATTGGGTCAAGAATGTGAAAGCATGGATGCTCTGTTAGTGCATGTATCGGGTGACCGGCCTCACCTCACAAATGGCATCACAAAAGGTGTAAGCCTTTTAACTACGGTATTATAACGAATTCGAATTTCCACCAGAATTCGCGCTCCAACGTGTCTCAATCAAACGTTAAACAGATCTGATTCATGTCAGGCCGAATGACTGAAGTTGCAGATACTCTAGCTTTTTTAGCTTCGCGTATTTTGAAAAACAAATTACAAGACTAAGTGGATTTCGCCACAATTATTAGACCTTGAGTGAGAACCAGTGACCTGTAATTCATTTAAATTTTTCATTTAAGAACAGATAACTTGATCTTTCACATTACCCTGAGAAGAAAGCCTTACGATTTCATTGAATTTCGCTTAGATCTACCTCCAGAAGGTTTGACCATTCAGCTTTAATTGTAAGTCTGACCTCGCATTTGCGATGTCACAACGGAATTCTAAACCGAATCGTGACACAGGTTTGTACAAAAGTTCTCCTTATGATTTTTAAAAACTAATTATTTGGCATATATTAAAGCCGACAAATGTAAAGTTAAACACAAGCTGGCTTCCTCAACTACGATTCGAAAATAACTACCAAATATTAAAGCGTCTAGATTACAAAATGCAGAGAAGATATGATGAGTATATTTAAGCACGCACTTTATAGCTTCGAATAATCCTCTAATAATTCAACGTGACCTGACTTTCACCTTAAAAGAAAAATCGGTTGGAAAGAAGTATTGAATTGTTGTTACCGAGTGCAGAGTTCAGACTGCTGGATCGTGCAAAAACGTCCGTGGCTCCTGGATCCATTCGTGCTAGACAAGGTCGGAAGCATCATTTACCAAAAACCCCATTACATTGAACCAAGAAAAGAGGCCGGCTTCAAGCATGCTCATTTGGTATACCTAATTTTGTGATCTCAATGATATATCCCATGGTGTGGTTGGCTACTTCACGTCTAGCTTGGATGCTTGCAGAAGAATGAAGTCTAGCCATGAGGTTTGTGTGGATATAGTCAAGGCTATTTCCCTGCATAAATGAACCGAAATGTTATCCTACAATTATAATGCGTGCTTACATTCACTAAAAAATGGATCATTCTATAAGTAGGTTCTCGAGACGACCAGTAGATTTGATAGAATAGCTGTACTCATCCTCTTTCCCTTTTGATTAATCACATCTTGTTACCTGTCCTGAAACCGATAGGAGAGATAAAAGACAAGAGAAAGTGGCGCTGAAGTCGCACACATATCAAGTTTGCAAGGTCATTTGGTTGCAATACAAATGAAGTATGTGTGTGCTCGTGATGCAGATGAATGAGCCGAAGAATAGAGGGAAAAGAAGCAGAGACATGGCAACCAAAACAGCTTGACGAAACGGTGTAAACAACATGTGGAGGCGCCATGATGACTGAAATACTGCGGAGGGGTAGAGTTGAGCCTGTCCTACGGCAAGGTCATTGCTTCTGCGATGCAAATGTGGTTGTGTAGATGACGACTCAAAGAAACGGTCGCTGGGAGACCGCTTGAGGCATATGAGGGGGCTTACAGCGACCCTCCTTACAAGAAGGTCCAATCAAGTTGTTTTTCGATTAAAGTAGGTTTTCGACACTACCATTACATCAGATATATGAGAAGTGTTCACCCTATTTCGGTTAAGGTGATGAAGGAATGGTAGTTTTTATTTTCCCACAATCATATTAGCAGACATGAAGTTACTATTCAATGTCACACAGCCTTGCCTTACAAAAATAAATACCAAGAGGTATTATCATGCAGACAGAAGTGAACTACAGTTTCGACCCAGTCTAGGTCTCATCAGTATTCCAGCGGACCTCGAGCTATGAAAGTATAGCGTATAATCTCAACACGTTAACCATTACACGAAATTGAACGAGTACCCTTGGATCACAGGGCAGTCGTTTGGATTGTTGATTAGGCAAGGTTATATTTGCAATGGCAATCGACGATGCTACTTACTTTTCGATTTAAGTAGGCAGATTAACCTCACTGTAAAGAAGGTACAATTTTTACCTCCTTGATGGACAAATACTGTAAACAACCACTTGTGAGAATAGGATAAGGCATGACAGAGACTGCCATTTTCATCGGTTATTTTTCTTATTTATTCAGTTTATCGAAAAATTTGTCAAGAAACGCACCTCTAACACTCTCAACTCGGGCGGCTATTCGGTGAGCAAAGAGGGGGCGACAGTCGGACAGTCGGTAGCTGGTGCGGGAGGGCCAATTAGCCATCTCTTGTCCAACGGCCAACCGGGAAATCTGGCCAGCCCTTCGAGAGGTGTTGCTGCTGGTGGGCCATTTGCTGGAGGCGGAGTGGGCATCGGTGGAAGAGGCAGCAGTGGAGGACTGAACGTGCCAGAGACGCCAGGCAAC